CAGACAGACGGAGGGTAGAGAGCTCCTCCTGTGTCTGCTGTTCTTGATTGCCTTCACCGCAAAATAATCCTATGTCAAATGGCATATAAAGATATAAAGATACAATGCTACTATAAAGATAACATAGTATAACAAGAATGTGAACCAAATAGATAACTTCTAAGAAGGGAGTAAGAATTGGCAGCATAAGATAGCAATCAGAGACTATAGTGAGGAAAGGAACTGTGGAATTCTCAAGCTTTAATGAATATATTTTTAAGTAATCCAAATCTTTCATATTAAGAATGCAATTCATGCAGCATCATTATTCATAGAGCCAAAAGGTGGAAACAACCCAAATGTCCATCAACCAGTGAACAGATAAACAAAATGCAGCATATCATACAATGGAATACTATTCAAGCATAAAAAGGAATGACATACTGCTAACTTGTTACAACATAGATGAACCTTGAAAACATTACATTAAGTGAAAGAAGCCAGTCACAAAAAACCACATATTATATGATACCACTTACTTGAAATGTCCAGAATAAGGAAATCTATAGAGACAGAAAGTACATTAGTGGTTGCTTCGGGCGGGGTAGGGGAGGGTGGGGTGGGAGTGGTGGTGATAGTTTAAAGGATACAGAGTTCTTTGGGGGGTGATGAAAATGTTCTGACTTTGACTATGGCAATGGCTGTACAATCCTGTGAATATACTAAAAAACCACTTAATTGTAAACTTTGAACAGGTGAACTGTATGGTATGTGGATTATATATCAATAAAGCTGTTACCAAAAACCAATAATCCAACAATTTAAAAGTTCATTCCAAAGAGAAGACATACCTCTCCTAAGAATGCAAAGAAAACTAGAACAGTGGAATTTGAAGTAGTCTTAATGGTACAGGGAGATTGACATGCAGGAAAAAAAAAAAAAAAGAGCTTCTATTTCTATTTGACATTTATGTAAAAAGAAGAAAAAAGAAATTAAGTTTGCTGGAATGTTTAATGCAACTGACTAGTGCCTTTACTCAGATGATCATGTGCCCTGTGAAGTCGAAGAGGCATTCTAAAGAAACAGTAGGAATTCCAAAGAAGACAGTCTGGCCGTGGGGCCCTTATGCATTATTTTTCCCTTCAGCATATTGCAACATATGACCAATTAGGTGGGCTTACAGATATACTATTTAGATTTAACTGAACTCATCCCTGCTAAAATGAGTAAGTGGCTAAAACATTGCTTGAAACTTATTACTGTATTTCACGCACAAGTGAAAAACAAGAAAATGGCAGGGCGCCTGAGTGGCTTAGTCGGTTAAGCACCTGCCTTCGGCTCAGGTCATGATCCCAGGGTCCTGGGATGGAGTCCCACATCGGGCTCCCTGCTCAGCGGGGAGCCTGCTTCTCCCTCTCCCTCTGCCTGCCACTCCCCCTGCTTGTGCTCTTTCTCTCTCTCTGACAAATAAATAAATAAAATCTTAAAAAAAAAAGAAGAAAATGGCAGAGCACAATTATCTGACCACTATTATGATCTCTTCTGCGGCTAACACAGAATGATAAATAACAATAAATATCTGTTGCATGAATGAATATTGGGAAATTCATAAAAGGCGAGAAACAACTCTAAGGAAACCTAGTAAACAATTCTTCACTTTTAGTACCTGTTACCACTATTCCCCTTCCCCCACACACAGTAATTATAGAAATATTAAGCATTATGATTAAATCATAACAAATAGAAACACAAGAAATTTATACATGGATATGTTTTATGTAAAAAAACTAAACTCCAAGTGGCCAGATTATTTTCACATAACGAATTCCTCATGAATTTTATTTGAAGCATGTCTTTCACAATGTGTCCTAATTCATTCAAGTATGTAAGGGCAACAGTACCTCCCAAGGACCTCCAGAGAATATACTGATATCCAGAGACATACACAAGTAGTCTAAACCCTGCTTGTCTCCATATCCAAAAACCATGTTTCTTCCAGGTAACTAAAGACCCATTGTTTGATTTCTTAAGGGTGAAAAAAGCATTTGCAAGTTTTAGTAAGTTATAATATTATCAACTGTCACATGACTATGAAAAACCAGGAAGTGGGGAGAGCTTAAAGACAACGTTAGAGAAAAAAATTAACAGAGAAAAAGTAAAAATTAGAAACAGCAAAGCGGGGTGGGGGGCGCCGGGGTGGCTCAGTCGTTAGGCGTCTGCCTTCGGCTGGGGTCATGGTCTCAGGGCTCTGGGATCGAGCCCTGCATCGGGCTCCCTGCTCCGCGGGAAGCCTGCTTCTCCCTCTCCCACTCCCCCTGCTTGTGTTCCCTCTCTGGCTGTGTCTGTCAAATAAATAAATAAAATCTTTAAAAAAAGAAAAAGAAACAGCAAAGGGGGAGAGAAATCAACCTTAGAAAAGCTGCCCCGCTAATACGTAGCAGGTTAGAGACTTCATTCTATGAGATTTCCCTATGTCAGAACTAAGTATTTCTACAAAGTACCTGCAAGATACCCTCAAATGAAAAGATCCTCCACTGGCTATCACCAAAGTTATTCTATAGCTAGGTACTGGCAGCAGATTAATTCCCTAAGTGACAATGCATAGATTTTATGGTTTAAAGGGATGCAGAGACCAAGGGGGTTTTGTTTGGGTTTTGGCGTGCTTGTTTTCAGTGAGTATTTTAGAAAGGGGACTTTAAAAAGCACTATCAGCTGGCAGGCAAGGGGAAGAAAAAAGGAGTTCAAAGTTAATTTGGGCACTTCTGCTAAAGCCCAGCAGAAACAGTGTACCACCTTCAGCACCAAAGGGAAAAGAAGGATCTTCACGGATGAAGAAAAACACTCAACCCTTGGTAAGAATCAAGGTGTAAAGTGTTTGTGGCGTGGTCTTTCTCGCAAGCCCAGTCATTCGGTCTTATAAAATCCCAAGGATTCTGTCCACTCCCGGGAGCAAAAGAAGCACCCAGCGAAGAGCCAGAAATCCAGGACACTATCTGCACCTAGCCTACCCAGGCGATCCCAAAGCGCGGCATCTCCTCTCCCCCACCTGGGATGTTCTGCCACTTGGACTCGACGCATGGCAGGGCCCTCCGTAGCCATATTTCGCTAGATCCTTCTTTCCTCCGCAGTTTCAACCGGCGAAACAGAGCTCCCAAGGTAATCACGAGACATCTGCCGCAGGAGCCTTTTCTTCCGGGCGGCAGCGGCCCTCACCCTGCGGATATCCTGCCGATTTGCTGAGGTGGCTGCTTCCAGTCGGCCCCGCCTACGGCCCCTCCTCCCTGGGTTCCAGGGCCTGGTGCCCTCCCAGCAGCTGTCAGGTACAGCCACCGTACTGCTCTGAGCGCCGAGCACTGGGACCTGGGACTCGCTGGGGCCCCTGCGCTGAGCGCGAGCGAAGCACCTCAGGAAGTTTATTTTCTGCGCCCTGGGGCATAAATCTGGGAACAATTATAACCTGGCGCCTCAGGTTGCTTTTTTTTCCTTTCCTTTTTTTTTTTTTTTTTTAGTTAGGGTGTTTCTTGTTTTCTTTCGTGACCAGCAGCTACACCCTCAAATAACACTAAATTGTTTAGTTATTGCTTTAAGGCAGTATAAAATTGATGCAGCATTTGATTTAAACATATTTGCTTATTTCCAGAATGGAGGCATCACTGGGCCTTCCCAGAACACAATTAATAGTGAAAAGAAAATACATGTCTTTCAAACTGCAAGAACTCTTCACATCCAGTTCAATCCCTTCATTTTACAGCTACCTAGAGAAATCCCATTTGGGATTACGAAAAAAGCACATCATTCTAGTATACTTGTTGTCTTTCCTTCATAGTTCTGATGAGTTCTGCACATTTCTTTTCTTTCATATTGTCTGTCTCACCATCTCCACCATCACTGCCACTACAAAGTAAGCAAGTTGAGGGTACGAACTGTGTATCTAGGCAGCATCTGGCAGATTCTTAATAGGTAAGATGAACTGAATGAACAAATGAAAGGTGAAGTGACTTCCTAAGGTCACACCGTTAACTGGTAGTAAAACTTGAATTGTCAATTGAGCACTCAGTGCTCCTTTAGTTCACAGGGGAATCATGGGAGGATTAATGCAAAACATAAAGAATTTACAGATTTCAGTAAAGGAAACAAACAAAGACAAATTTGGAATTACAATATAATTGTGTCTGTTCCCTGCTTTGCCTCCACACCATACATCATTCTGAAAAGTAGGTGGTTCATTTCATAAACCTAGGGATGTATGGTCACCATTTTGGGTGGGAATAAAAACAAATGAGCATTAAAGATACCAAAATGGTAAACAACAATAATATTGCTAAAAGTACGTAATTGCGTTTTTACAAGAGACATTTTTACAAGGTCAATGTCAGTGTAAGGAATGAAAACTCCCAGCATACCTAATCACCCTTTTTTTTTTTTTTGCACATTCCTCCTATGGCAATTTTAGAGATAAAAGACGTAACTGCAGTATAGACCATTCTGAAGGTTAATATGAGTAGCTGATTGAGTTAAAGATGATATGTTTATTAAGTATTTTGTAAGCACCATGCATTTACATACAACATTTTATTTAATCTGAAGAGACTGAGGCAGATTAAAAGGAGCATTAACTAGATGAGGCCATTAGTCTATAAGGTGGGAATGTAATGAGATCATGCAAATTGTATTTATCAGAACTCCTCTCAAGAAGGAGCGGGTATTAAATGTTGGTGGAAATAACATTTTGATAGGCCACTTAGGTTGGTTGGTAAGATCAAGGGATATGCTCCAACAACAGATAGTCATCAATTTGCCTTTGAAGGAGAGAAAATTCCTTCCCTGAGTAAAGTATATAATTTAGGCTACAGCCAAAGTTGAGGTATTTATCACCATCCCCCCCACCCCATCCCCACACCACACCTTCATTACAGTTGTGGCAGTAGCTGCATTTCTTGTTTCTCTACAACCACGGCTGCTGTTGGGAAGTCCATCTTAACTTTTACTAAATCCAGTTGATGTATTTTAAGTAAACACTATGCCTAATGTGAGGCTTGAACTCACAACCCTGAGAATTAAGAGTCTCATGCTCTACCAACTGAGCCAGCCAGGCACGCCAGTCCCTTCATTAAATTTTTAATTAACCTCCTGAATACACCATGAGTTTCCTGTCCAGATTTTAACTAATAAAAGGAGTCCTCCTTTCTTGCTTTCTAACATATGGTGTTCAGCCTCTCTAAATAAATGTAGTTAAAAAAAATTTAAGATGATCAATCTGAAGGGATGTCAAATCATAAACCTATTTGGGGTAACCGTATGTCTCAATCCAGAGAAGTAAGGGATCATGAATTCTAGAGTTTACTTAAACACATCATATTTTTATTGAGCATTTTCTATAGGCAAAGCACGCTTAGTTTCAGGGGATTCAGGGGTAAGTAAGATAGTTGTGTCTTCAAGGAGATTTCAGCTTAATAAAGAATAAAATAATCACAATACAGAGTAACAAAGCTATCAAAAATATACTTTTAAAGGGTCAAATTATGTTGGGAATTATATGTCAATTATTTTTGACAAAGGTGCCAAGACAACTCAACACAGAACGATCATCTTTTCAACAGACAAAGCTAGGACAATTTGATATCCATTTGCAGAAAAGAATAAATGTCCACATTTACCTCATGCTATATATAAAAATTAAACTTGAAATTAAACTCTTAAATGTAAGAGTTAAAACTATATAAAACTTCTAGATGAAAACATAAAAAAATCTTAGTGTCCTTGGTTTTGGCAAATATTCCTTAAATACAACATAAATAGCACAAAAAGCACTCTTACAACTCAATGGTAATAAGACAAATAACCCAATTTAAAAATGGGCACAAGAATTGAAAAGATACTTCACCAAAAAAGATACATGGATGACAAACAGGCACATGAAAAGATGTTCAAAATTAGTCATTAAGGAAATGCAAATTGAAAACACAATGATATACCACTATACTCCTGCTAGAGTAGTTACAATTGAAACAACTGACCACACTGTGTGTTGACACTGTGAGTTGAGCAACTAGAACTCTTACACACTACTGATAGATATGCAAAATGGCAAAACCACTTAAAGAAACAATTTGAGAGTTTCTTTAAAAGTTAAGCATACACCTACCAACCATTCTATTGCTGGGTATTTATCCATATTCAAATCTATTACTACATAACAATATTACCACAAACATAACAGTATAAAACAATACACATTGATTACCTCAGTTTCTATGGTTCAGGAGTCAGGGTATGGCTTAGCTGGATCCTCTGTTTTAGGGTCTCAAAGTCTTATCTGAGGTTCAACTGGGGAAGGATTCATTCCTAAGATCACCTGACTGTTAGCAGTATTCAGTTCTTCGTGGGTTGTCAGAGTGAAGGCCAGTTTCTTGCTGGCTATTGGCCAGATGTGATCCTCAGCTCATTGCCACATGATCCTTCATAACATGGCCACTTGCTTTCTCAAAGCAGCAAGGGAGATAGTGTCTCTCCCAGTAAAATGTAATTTAAATGTAATATAATTGTGTGCAAGGTAATTATGTTCACATAATCACATATATCACCTTTGCTGTATCTTATTGGTTGGAAGCAAGTCACATCTATTTGTTAATTACATCGCACTAAAGCTGAAACAAAAAAAGAAGCAAGTCACAGATCCCACCCACATTCAAGGGGGAAAGGATTATCCCAGAGCATGGTTAATAAGGAAACCACCTCTGTCCACCACATTACTCAAGAGAAATGAAACGTATGTCCACACAAAAAATTGTACACATATGTTCCTAGCTGCTCTGTTTGTATTAGACAAATACTGAAAAAACTCAAATATCCATCAGCAGGTGAATAGATATCTTGTGAGATATCCATACAATGGGAACACTCAGCAATAAAAAGAAACAATCAATTGAAACCAATTGATACAATACTGATGAATCTCAAAGTAGTTATACTGAGTGAAAGAAGCCAGGCAAAAGAGAGTACATACTGTATGATTCATTTATATAAAATTCCAGAAAGCAAAAAATAATCTATATGACAAAAAATAGATTGGTGGTTACCTGGGAAAAGTGAAGGGGGCTGAAAAAGAAGGATTACCAAGAGGTAATGAGGAAGCTTCTGCAGTGATAAATATGTTACCTTGGTTGTGGTAATGGTTTCACAGGCATATACATATATCAAAATTCATCAAATTGTATACTTTAAGTATGTGCAGCTTAATATACCTCAATAAAGCTTATAAATTATACCTCCATAAAGTTTTCTACATATTTTTTTAAAATATAGGATCCACTTTCTACAAGGGTACCACATCACATCAATGCTCCCTGTTAGAATTTAAAAAAATTATTATTATTTACCATTGAATAAAATTGATGTCAAGAAAAAGAGAGTATCATAATTGCACAAAGTATTCAGGATAGGTCATGTGAGTAAGGTGACATTTAAATGGATTTTTAAGGACAGAAAAGATTTTGATGCATAGTGATAGCTATAAGTGCATTCCTTGCACAGAAAAATTAACATGTTTATTCATTCAACAAACATGTATTAGCACTTGTGTACCCAAGCAGTGTGCTAAACACTGTGAAGATCTCTTTGCCTGTCTTAGCAAATTTCCAGACTGGGTTGATTAATTTGGGAATGATTAAGAATATTATGCTCGGGCGCCTGGGTGGCTCAGTTGTTAAGCGTCTGCCTTCGGCTCAGGTCATGATCCCAGAGTCCTGGGATCGAGCCCCGAATCGGGCTCCCTGCTCAGCCGGGAGCCTGCTTCTCCCTCTCCCACTCCGCCTGCTTGTGTTCCCTCTCTAGCTGTCTCTCTCTCTGTGTCAAATAAATAAATAAAAATAAATAAAATCTTAAAAAAAAAAAAGAATATTATGCTCAACATTCAGCTGCAGTTTTTCTAGGGCTCCTAGTCACTAACTTACTTGAATTCTTTCCCCTTTGTAGGAGTAAAGAATTACACTAAAAAGCAGAAAATTATATCAATAAATTCAGTGTAAATCAACATGCAGGTTTATTCATGTGATCACTATCCACATGGTTAATAGATAATTGCAAAATTGCTATACTGATTAGAATGCAAAACTATGTAGTTCTGGTTACTCTGAGCAAATAAACCTCTTAACCACCTTGGAATTCTATTTTATCTTTTGAAGAATTATGGATTTCAGGTAGAGTAACCATGTGATTTATTGTCCAAACTTCTGAGAGTAATTAATGCTGATAATTATTATTCTGGGACAACAGTACTAAAATCAGGGTTGTGCCAGGTAAACTGGGATGTATAGTCACCCCAGTTATAGGGAGATTTTGGTTTGTTTTAAGGTTTGCAAGTATAGATTCCTGAGCTCTACCCCAGACCTATTAAGTCAGAATCTCTGGTGTGGGATTTGGGAAGTTTATAATCTAATGAACTGCCATGCTTGGAAAGCCTTAGACCCTAAAATGATATCATTAAAGGCTCTTCCAATTCTAAAATCCTATGCCTTATAGGGGAATTTTAAATATGAGCTTCATATTAGAGGATATTAGGGAATTTTTAATCTTCTTGATGTAATAATGATCTGAAAACATAAGAAAATGTCCTTGTTCTTAAAAAATATACATAGCTGCATCTAAGAGTGATGTATCACAGTATCTGCATTTTACTTTCAATTGTTTCAGGGACTACACACACAAACACGAAGCTGATAGTGGATATACCCATGTTCACTGGACTATTTCAATTTTTCTGTATGTTTGAAATTCTCATGATAAAATATTGGCAGGAAAAGACTACTAGGGAAAAACCTTGTTTATAGGTAGCCAGTGTTATTGTTATAAATATAACTTTTAAGAACTATGACCAAAAAGATGGCAATTCAATTGATTACTAAAAAGTCCAGCCTGTAATTCCTCCTCTTGGGTTTTTTTCCTTAGAAAAAATAAAGTGGCAAAGATACTCGCTGCAAAATTGTTTAAAATAGTACTGTTTTTGCAATATTCTAAATGTATAATATTAATGGCATGCTTAGGTAAATCATGGTGCATTGGTACATTCAATGGAGGGATTATTATACAACCACTAAAATAATCATTGTCAAGAACATATTGCATATATTGTCCTATGCTGTTACATAACTAGGTGCAAAAATAATCCGCAATTTTATCTGTGCTATAACTATATAAAATTTGATTCAAGTGGACAGAACTAGAAGTTTATATGGAAATGCTGTTTAAAAAGCAGTTCCCCACTGTATTTCATTTTCATTTCGAATTCTGCCAATGATTTTGTGCAACAATAATGCATATTTTAAAAACCAGTCGTTACTTGTCATCTTAATTTTGCTTAAAGTTAGTAAAGGTCAGTTTATAATTGGTTGAAAAACTGAGTAAGATTTTAGGCGCCTCAACTGATTGATGCTTAACTGGTTTGGGATAGCCAAGCATCGTTTTGCCGACTACAAATATAACAAACATTATGTGTAAACCGTGCTGCTGAAAAGGTCTCCAAACATCACAGGAACACCCACCACAATGTGTGGGCAAAATGCACATAGATAATCAAGGCAGAAATACTACTACCTGTCAAATAGGACGGGCATGTCAGCCTTTTCTCCGCGAAAGGCTTCTGATCCTACGGTGCCTCTTACTTTCACCAGAATGAAATGGTTCCAGAGTCCCAGGCAAGGGAAGAGACTGTTCCCTTGCCCAGGAGGCTGGAAACTGCTCAGTGTGAGCGCAAGGTTTCCAAGGCCCTTCAGCAGAGATCCCCAGCACTAGACGATTCCCCAGTTGCTAGGTTTAGTTGCTAAGGCACCAACCGTCTCGCAGGAAGAGGTGGCAGTGCACTCCCTTTTGGCGTCGTAGCGAATCCTCTCGATACCGAGCGCATTTGTTCCGGGAGGAAACATTCAGCTCCTCTAAGAGCGACGGGAAGGCGAGGAGAAGCTGGGAGTGACGCCTCTGAGCCGTGGAGGATTGTGGGAGGAGGTTGTCTCCAATTTCTCCTCCCTCTCCCCCCCTCCCGGCCAAGATGTCTGACATGGAGGATGATTTCATGTGCGATGATGAGGAGGACTACGACCT